CACAAAGAGACACAACAAAGCTACAAAGAGACAAAAACAGCCACAAAGAGAGAACTTCATATCAAAACGAAATAAAATAGCGACAAAGAGACACGAAGCAACCACAAAGAGACAGAAAACAACCACAAAGAGACACAAAACAGCCCCAGCGAGACACAGCCGTCATCCTTGTGGATAAATAACCTCCATAAACTTGAGCTAAATGCGTCCTGTGAGCGTAAACGTTTCCGTGGTGACGCATTTCCTGCAGCGACGGTCATCGGTCCAGATGTTTAGTCGTCCTGCTCCCAGAATGCACCGCTGCTTCCTGCAGAGCCTCCATCGGCTCCACCACGTTTCAGAGCTGGAAACTAACGAGACGCTGAAACACTGAGATCAAAGCCTGAACCGATGGAAGTACAGAAGAAGCCTTTGATTCTGTCCAGATAATAAAAAAATAAAAACAACTTTCATCCTGATTCTGTTGCAGCAGCAGAATTCAAAAACAGCCTCAGAGTCACAAGTTAACTCTGTGAAAACCCCAAAACCTGCCCTGAAAGGTTGTTATCTTCAAAAAAATCACCAGAATGACTCCAGCTATGAGCCAGAACAGGAAGAAGCGTCCAAAAAAAACACACAAAGCGAAAGAAAGGGGAGAAAATGGTACAAAAGACACAAACAATGAGCAAAATAAGACACACAGCAAGAAGACCGAAGGACAGATGAGACACAAAATGGCAAACAGGAAACAAAACCGTCCTAAAGAGACACAAAACAACACACAAAAGAGACAAAACGGTCGTAAAGATGCATAAAAAAAACCCAAAATGAGACACAAAACAAGAAAAAAACACAGAAAGTGAACAAAACTGTCTCACAAAGACACAAAATGAACAAAAACTGTCCCACAGACACATAAAGCTGTTAAAGAGAGACACAAAACAACACAAAGAAGACAAACACAATTCACCAAATGAGAAAAAAACGAGACGTAAAATGACAGAAATTAGACACAAAACAACAAAAACCAGAAGCAAACGACAGCAAAAAAAAAGGAAAAAGAGACACAAAGCGACACAAGCGAGACACAAAATGACCACAAATTTTCTTTCAGGGTTTGTAGAGGCTTAAAAAAAGTAGATAGTGACAAAAAATGACAAAACTGAAACACAAACCCACAAAATCGAGACCCAGAATGACAAAAATTGACAACCAATTACAAAAAAAGAGACACTAAACAATCCAAATGAGACGGAAACTACAGAAAGACGACACCAAGTGAACACAAAGAGACACAAAATGACCAGAAACAGACGAACAACAACAGGAAACGGATCAAACCGTCTCTCAGAGGCTGTAAACAGTGAAGAGTTGAACATCTACAGTATTTGTGACGTCTGTGGACGTGTTGGCTCCAGATGTTTGATATGTTTGTGAAGTAAACAACTTTGTTTATGCGTTCTGACTGTGTTCTACCGACACAAACGTTCCTGAGTTTCTTGAGAGCAGAGCAGGAGATGGAAGCTGCTCAGGAAGTCGTTGGTGGGAATAAAGACTGACAGCAGCTGCAGCAGAAACCTGCCGACGGTCGTGGGAGCTTCAGCCGTGATCAGACATCAGCTCCATCACTTTCTGTCTCCAGCCGGCAGCATCAGCGCAGGATTCAAACCTGCAGCAAGTCTGTCTGTGTCGAAGGCAAAGTGATTCCAGTCATCGCTGAGGCCAAGAACACGAACACGAAGGCAAATTTGTTCTGAGCTCCTCAAAGCAACTCAGAGTGTGTCGAGGCGGTAAATAATTAAATACACAAAATGACAAAAAGTGAGAAAAACAAGACACAAAAAAACAGAAAGGGGACAAAACTGGCTCTTTGAAATAGAAAATGACCAAAAAAATGAGGCACGAATCGTCAAAAACGAAACGCAAAATGAGAGAAATGTGGCAGAAAAGGACAGAAATGAGAAAAAAACTGTCCCAAAGAGACACAAAAACAACAACAAAAACAGTAAACAAGAAAAATAACAAATATACTCAAAACACTAAATGATAAAAGTGAGATACAAATCTTCAAAAAGGAAAAACAAAAGGTGAAAAATGTGCCATAAAAATGACAAAACTGTCCCAAAGAGGCAGAAACAACAAAAAAGACACACAATGAGAAAAAATTTGACAAAAATAGGAACGTTGAAAAACAAAATGACGGCGAACGAAAAGACAAAACCGTCCTAAAGAGACACAAAACAACACAAAGACAAACCTAAAAAAAAAAATAGAAAAATTATATAAAACATGAGAAATAAACACAATCAAGACACTAAATGACAAAAATGCAACACGAATGATTAAAAACGAAACACAAAATGAGGAAAATGTGGCATAAAATGACAGAAATGGAACTAAACTGCCTAAAAAGAGACATGAAGCAGTAAAAAAAAAAACTGTAGACAAGAAAAATGACACACTCAAGGCACTAACTGATAAAAACAAGACACGAATCATCAAAAACGAGTCGCAAAATGAGAAAAATGTGGCATAAAAGACAGAAATTAAACAAAAGTGTCCCAAAGAGACACAAAACAACACAAAGCAGAGACAAAACTACAAAAACAAAAACAGTACACAAGAAAAATGACACAAAAACCTGAGAAACAAACACACTCAAGACACTAAATGATAGAAGTAGAGACAGGAGGCTAACGAGTCCTCGTATGATGTTAGTTATCATCAGAAACACTAAATCCACCACAAGGTGACCGGCAGCAGCACAACTGTCAATGAAGCGTCGCCTAGCAACCGGCAGCAGGACAGCCCATAATAAGCAGAGCAGACAGAGAGTCTGCAGCAGCTTTACTTCATTCAGAAAGAACCTGAACAGATTCAGACCGGCAGCATAAAGGACGTTAAAACCCATAAAAAGGTCTGATTTAGTTTAATATTCCAGATAAAATCCACTAAATCTGAGCCCAGTCCTCAGAACCAGCCGGTTCTGG